AAAAAAAAAAAAAGGAAAACAAAAAAATGAAGATAAATATCTGGAAACCTTTCTATTTAAGAATATAGAAGATAGGAAATGAATGTTCTGAAATATCTACATGTTATTTTTTATAAAAAAAGAATCACGTATGAAGACAAAAGAATTTCATATATATATCCCGATCATACCTCAAAATCCGAAAATCCAGCAAACGTATCACGTTCACCAAAGTGAGCCTGCACGGGTGCCTTAGCTTCGGTGAGGTCCGCAAGCTCACGCGAAGGCACTCCATAAAAAGATACCACAGCATCAATCCCCGGGACCAATACAGAACTTGCAATAGCTAGGGCACCACCTATGCTGAAACCAGTAACACCAACCTATAGCAAATCTTATTAGTACAACAAGTTTGAAGTATAATCGTATCACCTCAAAAATGAGCTAAGTGGAATAAAATGGTCTAGGTTAGAAATAGATTCTTTGAGGGTCCTCACAATGTAAAAGTGCTTAAATTGAGCAACTTAACTAAAAAGCGAAGTAATTTTGACGATTCATGGTATTCAAGAACTATTCATGCAACACAAGTTTTCGAATTCGAAATATATCATAGAATTAGGATAAATCAAAGATTCGTATCATCAACAGAATGGGTGGCAGCAGGTTATGTATATCACCTAATGTTAGCATTCGTGGTGATAAGGAAATAATACTAAAGTTCCAACCTTTCTTTCTTATTACATTGGAAGATTCATCATACATTGAGAAATTTCATCGTCAAGCACAATGTCAATCACTCAATCAGAAAATAACAGGAAACTACATCAATTGAAACACATGTTTATTTCTCAACACACCTAAGAGAAAGTTAAAACACTCGAAATTAGTACCGACTATGGACTTCTTAATAGATACGTTAGACACTATAAAACGCCACACACCTTCTCAGAACCTTCTGCCTTGAGCCAGTTGACAGAGGCTTCAATATCCTTCACCGCGCCTTTCCAGTCAAGACCTTCCATCAAGTGTTGAGCTTCAGCAGCATCTAGAGCAACCTTCCCTCTGTACAAGCTATAATTGACAAGAAAAGGAAAAGGGTAAGATAAAGACAACTACGAACAACACCTTAAGAGAAAATTAAAGCCATAAAACGAATAGAATAATAAACATAAGAAAAGAAAAGGGGTAAATCTCAACTTGCATGACAAATACTTTGTTACTTACTCTGGTATCAATGCTTTGTAGCCCTTATCGAACCCGACAATCGTATGGGCATGATTCTTGATCTCAAAATCAACACCCCACCATTCTTGAAGCACAACAATCCCCGGAGCATCATCTCTCCCGATCACATAGGCATCAAATGTCTACTCAACAAATTTTCTATTTAGGAAATATCTCAAAAACATCCACAGGTAAATGCAAGAGCTTAATTGTATTCATTCGACACCATAAAACAAAATGAAATACATGTGAAATTACATTCACATAGATATCACTTTCTGGCCTTTCTTGATGCTTTTCTGATAGATAAAAACAGAATCGAAGTAAGTTTATAGAAAACAGGCAAATGGTTGTTGCACACAAGCAGATATTCAAACTCAATTCACTAAAAGTTCCATCTTTCTCATCACGCATCAAAACTAATAATAAAATTTATTAGACTAAAAAAAAAACCTAACTAAAGGAAATGAAAACCATTTTCGTTCAACAAATAGTGACAACAATGGAGCCCAACAAAAAATCAACCCTACCGAGTTATCTCTCTCAATCTGGACTTTCCTGAATGGCGAAGAGACGTCGGAATTGGTCGCCATTGCACGAAGCTGACGGAGTGAACTGGAGGGAAGAAAACGGACATTCACGGATGAGAATCGTGAGAAAGAAGAAGGCTTTGATACGTTGACGAGGGGTGTAGCGTGAATTCTGCAACCGTAAGACGCCATGGCCGTTCGAGTTTCGACCACTTCAAGGTATGGAGGCTTCGTGTTTTCTCAAACGTTAGACACCATGGGCGTTCGAGTTTCTACCACTTCCAAACAATCTTGGACATCAATTTCGAATACGGGAATTGTCGGGCCTAACTTATATTAATAAGAATTAAAGCAACTACACTTTCAAGTTAATATTAATAAGAACTAGATTTTGATTGGAACTTGGAAGGATTAGTATTACACTTTCTAAGTTTAACTATATTAATAAGAATTTGATTTTGATTGGAATTATGTATATAGGGAATTGCTAAGGTCCCGTTATGAAACTATTGTGTCGAGGTTTGTCACCGTTAGATCATTATATAATCATCAGAGATAGTTGATATAACGATTACAAACCCTAACAAAATGATTATGAGACTGTAGCATCTTCCATATATATAACCTACAAATACTGATGATGGTTTAGGGACGATGCACTTTGTTTCAGACGAAAAACTAAAAAATCGATGGTGGACGTAAATTCGCTCATTTCTGTAATAGAAGGGAAACTAATACGAGCTTGTGGGTTATGTTGGTTTTATTTTAACAAAGTTCACTAAAAAAATGGTCAAAATTAGAGTATGAACACTCATATATACTTTGCTAAGATACACCAATTCATGTGGGACTAGCACTGTGAAACGGGCCAGTGGCCCGCGGGTTGGCCCGCCCGCCCGCTTAAACGGACGGGTTTGGGCCTTTGCTTGGCCAGCCCGTTCAATCGCGGGCCTATTTGGCCCGCCCCGC